ATCCAATAATAATGTATATAATACGAGTTTGCAACCAAAATATATATATATATTCATGCCCCCACACCTCCAGATCACCTACCACACATGATTAGTCTAGTCTAACTTGTCTGTCGCTATGTTTAGGTAGCTGTAGTCAAAAAAATTGTGTTATATTTTTTTATAAACAAAAAATCGTACAAATTACATGTTATTTAAATATATGTGGGTCTTATTCTCTATTCGGATTCTTTGATTCTCTTTCCGAGTCGATCCATTTTTCAACTTAGATTTGGGTGGCTTCTTTGATCCAAAGGAATTTGGTCTTCGGTTTGATTTTGCCGCCTTTTGGAGGACTTTGGCATCCATGTTAGCGATGTTGATCATCGACTTTGGATTTGATGTCTCCTCCGGATAATCCGAGGGAATTTGATCTTTTAGGAGGTAGATTTTGTGTTCCATAACGCCTTTGGCGACATGTCCTTTTGACTTTTGGATCGAAGAGGGCCGAGTTTATGTCTTTTATTAAGAACACGACGAATATCTTGAAGCTTTGGAAACGACGTTGGAGGCTCTTTCTTGGCTTTGATTGATTCCTCGATGACTTTGGGAGCTTTGATCCTTCCTCCGGCTCGGGCATACGACGAAGAACGTTAACTTCATCGATTCGTCAATCAATATTATATCATTTGTCCAAATCGGTGACTTTTCAATGAAGAACGCTTCGAATGACATGAAAAACATTGCAGAGAGTCTAGAGAGACTTACCATTGCGCGAGTCTTCAAATGAACTTCGATGTGTAATTAATTGGCTAAGGCTCCTATTTATAGGGGAGGGTGGCCTTGGCTTCCTTTTCGAATGGTGCCACGTGGCGCATCCTCATTGGCCAATAGAAAGATTTTATAATCTTTCCTTTTCCATCACATGCCGTTTTCCATTCTTGACGGATTTGATTATGTATCTTCCTTTTTCGCCAAAATTTTTATATCATTGTCTTTTTTGGAAGATATTAATTTATATACTTTCTTTATTGACAAGATTAATTTATTTTGCTGCCAAATTTATTATGACTCTATTTATGCACTTAATATTTGTACGGTATTTTCCATTTTAAGCAGATTTTTGCATTAATTGTTGATATTTATTGTACAAAATTGACATATGTGCATAATTAAATATCATATATTTATATTATTGAAATTTTATTTTCTTCCAAAATAGATGATATTTAATTTAATTTAAACATTTAATTTTTAATGCCTACAGTATCGATTTTTAAAGATTTTTAAATATATCTTAAGTTGGTTGGATAATAATAAAAAGTAAATATAAATAAATATTAGAGTTTATATCTTAAATATACAATGTAAATTTAATATAATTTTTAAATAAAAATAAATTTTGAATATTTTTGTAGTATGATTTTTTTTTTTTTTTTGTGAATAGTAAAATATAAGTCGAGAACAGAAACATTGCAAATTTGTTTGAGTGCATTCTCTATGAAATATTTATTGAAAATTATATTATTAGATACTTATGCATATAACCACATCAAACAAACTTAAAATTTATTATAAATTTGTTTTCTTTACATGTTTAGGTTATTTTTATGCAATATTGACAATTATTGTAAATTAAATTGATACGGAGAAAGATGATCGCTTTCTATTTGGATCGGATGCCACATAAAATATAATGCTTCGACATTAGCTTCTCGGTTAGTTTTTCTAATGACGGTATCAAAATTTATTTGAATTTTTTGTAATAGGATCAAAATTAATTATATATATATATATATATATATATATATATAATGAAGTTAAAATTACTTGTTTTTTTTTTTTTTTTTTGGGACCATATTTGATCTTTTCCCTGAAGATTAATATCCGAATGCAAGTTTGCACCTTCTAGAATTTTATATTGGCTCAAGCTTCCAATCTCAAAGTGAGCACTTCAAATTTTTTCATTCAAACATTTGAAACATTATTAAAAGAAAATTTGGAGTTTGCAAAGTAACATGGAATATATAAAGATATGTATTGTATGGTCTTTTAGACCAATTTGCTTATATGGGCTTGTTTTGCTTTACAAAATTACATAAGAAAATGAATTCAAATATCAAAATGTGTTTGAAATGTTTGAATACTTTGATTTGATAATGAAAATTGGCCGTGACTTAAAAATAAATAAATTATGTTACTTACCGTAGACATTAAAAATTAAATGTCTAAATTAAATTAAATATAATGTATTTTAGAAGAAAATAAAATTCTAATAATATGAATATATGGTATTTAATTATGCACATATGTTAATTTTTGTACAATAAATATCAACCATTAATGCAAAAATATGCTTAAAATGAAAGATATCGTACAAATATTACGTGCATAAATAGAGCCATAATAAATTTGGCAGCAAAATAAATTAATCTTGTCAATAAAGGAAGTATATAAATTAATATCTTTAAAAAAAGGCAATGATATAAAGATCTTGTCAATAAAGAAAGTATATAAATTAATATCTTCCAAAAAAGACAATGATATAAAAATTTTGGCGAGAAAGGAAGGTGCATAATCAAATCCGTCAAGAATGGAAAACATCTTATGGAAAAGGAAAGATTATAAAATCTTTCAATCCACGTGGCACCATCCGAAAAGGAAGCCAAGGCCACCCTCCCCTATAAATAGGAGTCTTGGCCAATTCATTACACACCGAAGTTCATTTAAAGACTCGCGCAAGGGTAAGTCTCTCTAGACTCTCTGCAATGTTATTCATTGTTTTTCGTGTCCTTCGAAGCGTTCTTCGTCGAAAGGTCACCGATTTGGACAAATGATCCAATATTGGTTGGCAAAACGATGGAGTTAACGTTCTTCGTCGTATGTCCGAGCCGGAGGAAGGATCAAAGCTCTCAAAGCTATCGAGGAATCCATCAAAGCCAAGGAAGAGCCTCCAAAGTCGCTCCCAAAGCTTCAAGATGTTCGTCGCGTTCTTCATAAAAGGTGCAAACCAGGCACTCTTCGATCCAAAAGTCAAAGGGACCGCCGCCAAAAGCGTTATGGAGCACCAAATCCCTCCCTCAATGATCAAATTCCGTCGGATCATCCAAATGAGGCATCAATCCAAATTCGACGATCAAAATAATCAACACGGATACCAAAGTCTTCCAAAAGCCGGCGAAGTCAAACCGAAGACCAAAATCCCTTCGGATCAAAGAAGCCACCCAAATCCAAATTGGAAAAATGGATCGAATCAGAGAGAGAATCAAAGGATCCGAATAGAGAATAGGACCCGCATATATTTAAATTAAATGTAATTTGTACGATTTTGTATTTATAAAAATATAACACAATTTTTTTGTCTACAGATTTTTGGCACGCCCAGTGGGACGACTCTACATTTCATCTCTCTTTCCGTCGAATTCACAAAACGATCAATGGCTTCCTACAAGATCAAGACTTCCAACACTATGTCGAAAGCTGCTACTCTAGCCGCCGCCGCCAAAGGAGTCGCTGCTACTACATCAAGAACCTCAAGTGCTTCAACGAATGCTGGAGTGATGACACGAAGCATGGCTAAAAGAGTACTATCATTTTCCGAGGATGCACATCCGAAAATCACAAAGCAAAACTCACTCTATGAGGAGGACGAAAGCTTCAAGAGTACCTCCGCACTGGGCACCCCTCAAGAAGTTGCAACTCGTTCGACTGCATCGATTTATGCCCCGATGATGACCACGAATGCTTCAAACATAGAAGACCAAATTGTTGCACTGGCCAAAGTTGTTGAAGGGATGTCTCAACACATGCAGCAACAAGACAATGTCATCGCAAAACTACTTGTAAAATTAGACAAGCCGGAACCAACGAACCATAATGCTTCAGAGGCCCAAAATGAAGCAGAAACATCCATGGATCAACGCCAAGGTAAAGAAAAAATGGCGGGACCAATGCCGTTTCAAGCATCATCTGACTCCTTCATCCATTTATCCCAACTTGACGAGTATATCAAAGGAGCTCTCAAAAGGGAGTTTGAAGGAAGTTCAAGGCCAACAAATATGTATGCCAAGCCTTACACTTCAAGGATCGATGCCCTCAAGATGTTGTTGGGATATTAACCGCCGAAGTTCCAACAATTTGATGGCAAAGGCAACCCAAAGCAGCATGTGGCACACTTCATGGAAACATGCAACAACGCTGGGACATACGGCGATCTCTTGGTGAAGCAGTTCGTACGGTCATTAAAAGGCAACGCCTTCGACTGATACATCGACCTGGAGGCTGGTTCCATCGACAGTTGGGAGCAGTTGGAGTACGAGTTCTTGAACCGGTTCTACAGCACAAAAAGGACCGTCAGTATGACAGAACTCACCAATACTCGTCAATGGAAAGATGAACCAGCGATCGACTATATTAACCGCTGGAGGAGTCTGAGCTTGAACTGCAAAGACCGGTTGTCTGAGGCCTCCGGTATAGAGATGTGCGTCCAAGGAATGCACTGGGGGTTGAAATACATCCTGCAAGGGATCCGACCTCACACTTTCGAATAACTTGCTACCCGCGCTCATGACATGGAGTTAAGTATGGCTTCAAGCGGGATGCACGGACCACCAGTTCAAGAATCTTCAAAAGCAAAAAGATACGAAAGATATGATGCCGTAAAGAAGGGGAACAAAGCTCCTATCAAGTCTTTCAGAAAAGAAGCCTTTGCCATAAAAGCGACGACCAAAGCACCTGTGAAGATCCAAAGTAAAGAAAAGGAAGTTGCAAGGAAAAGACAGTCAACTCAGACAGAAAGACCTCCAAGGCCAACCCTTAAAGAGTTGCAATCCAAAACTTATCCTTTCCTGGATTCTGACGTCTCGGGCATCTTTGACGATCTACTCAGAGAAAACCTCATTGAACTTCCGAATTAAAAAAGACCGGAGGAAGCTGGAAAGGTTGATGACCCAAGATACTGCAAATACCATCGTGTCGTAGGACATCCCATCCATAACTGTTTCGTCTTTAAAGACAAAGTCATGGAGTTGGCTCATGAAGGAAAGATCACCCTTAAAGATGATTCTGCTTCTGTTAATGTCACTTCAATCATGTTCGGGTCTCTCGAAGTTGACATAAAATACAAAGAATCATATTGCCTCACTACCGAGAAAGGTGGCAAGGCGATCAGAGACAAATCGAGTGAAGAATGTGCCACGATAACTTTCACTGATGAAGATTTGATATTAGGATCCAAACCCCATAATCGTCCATTACTGGTCGTGTATTATATCCATGAACAAAGGATTAGCCGGATATTTTTAGACGGAGGAGCTGCAGTCAATGTCCTTCCTCTATACACATTGCAAAAATTGGGAATACCAGTAGATCAGTTGTTCGAGAGTCGTATGACAATACATGGATACAATCAAGAGGGACAAAGAGCACTTGGCACCATAAGATTGAGACTGTTAATCGATGAAATGGAAACTAACCCTTTGTTTTACGTGATAGATGCAAAGACATCTTACAACATTCTTTTGGGAAGAACATGGATACATGAGAATGGTGTAGTTCCATCAATGTGGCACCAATGCTTCAAATACACTCAAAATGGAGTGACAAAGAAAGTTCTCGGAGACACAAAGCCATATGCAGAAGCCGAGTCACACTTTGCGGACGCCAAATATTTCTCTACAGAAGCAAAAAAATCCAAGGTACATGAAGATGTCAAAGCACCACAACCAAACTTGGGGGCATAGTCAAGAGATAAAGAAAAAACACCTGCTCAGGTTCTGCAGACTCATTAATTGAGCCTCTGAAAGATTTGACTCTTCCGAAGACCCCACTCAACCCAATCTCCCCCTGACAGACAAGGAACGGAAAAGAAGAAAAAATAGAGGCTATGCGATTGCAAAAGGACAAAAGCTTTAGCCCAAAAGCCTACAAACTTCTCACAAAAATTGGATATAATCCAAATGAGGAGTCACTGCTGGGAAAGTTACCACCACAGACAACCCAAGGTTTGAGGGCTGGTCTTGGATACATGCCACAAGCTCCCGTACGCATCGCTATCAAAAGGGCTGCAAATCATTATATCACCAAAAGCGAGACTTTGTCTTCCAATTCACCTCAAAAGGGGAGGAATGCAAGAGTATCGGTTTTCGAGAGGCTAAAACCTTCTGTCTTCACAAGGTTAGGACCAAAGATCAATAAAGAGAAAAACAAGATGAATTCCATATCAAAAAAATATGTGGAGATGGATGAAAAAATCAAGAGCCGCTTTCCATCCCGCATGACGCGTCAAACAAAAATGACGATACATTGCGGTAAAGTTTTAAAGGCTAAATGGCAAACCGTTGTCTTCACCAAACCCAAAGAAGATAATGAAAAAAGTGTTGCATCATCCTGCTACTTCACTGAAGAGGGTGAAGAGACAATGATTGAAGAAGATGCAGGAAATGCACCCGCCGCGCTTGAAGAAGGGGTCAAAGCTGCAGTGGACGAGTTAGAAGAAATCAACTTGGGAAGTGAAGATCACCCAAGACCTGTCTATGTCAGCAAAGAGCTGGGTGAGGATGATATGAATGCCTACACCCGACTTCTCAATGAATTCCAAGATGTCTTCGCTTGGTCATATAAAGAAATGCCCGGCTTAGACCCGAAAGTTGCGGTCCACCATCTAGGTGTGAGGAAGGGAGCTCGCTCTGTAAAGCAAGCGCAACGAAGATTCCGTCCTGAACTCATCCCTCAAATTGAAAATGAAGTCAACAAACTCATTGAAGTGGGGTTCATCTGGGAAGTCAAATACCCCCAATGGATTTCCAACATCGTGCCTGTAAAGAAGAAGAATGGACAAATCTGAGTTTGTGTGGATTTCCGGGACTTAAACGAAGCATGCCCAAAAGATGATTTTCCTTTACCTATAACTGAATTGATGATTGATGCAACGACAGGACACGAAGAGCTTTCTTTTATGGATGGATCATCTGGATATAACCAAATTCGTATGGCACCTGAAGACGAAGAGTTAACCGCCTTTCGTACACCGAAAGGTATCTACTGTTACAAAGTTATGCCTTTCGGATTAAAAAATGCTAGGGCAACCTACCAAAGAGCAATGCAAAAGATCTTTGATGACATGCTACACAAAAATGTAGAGTGATGTGTTGATGAATTGGTTGTCAAATCCAAGAGAAAAGAAGATCACCTGCAAGACTTAAGAAAGGTTTTTGAAAGGTTGAGGCGCTACCAATTAAAAATGAATCCTCTCAAGTGCGCTTTTGGATTCACCTCCGGAAAATTCCTCGTATTCTTTGTCCATAGTCGTGGAATTGAGATTGAACAGGCAAAGATAGATGCCATCACAAAAATGCCTGAGCCTCGTAACATCCACGAGCTAAAAAGCTTACAAGGAAAATTAGCATATATAAGAAGATTTATCTCTAACCTCGCTGGACGATGTCAACCTTTCAACCGAATCATGAAAAAGGGAGTGCCTTTCCATTGGGATGAAGCATGCAAGAATGCATTCATAAGTATCAAAGACTACTTGACAAAGCCACCAGTGCTGACAGCCTCAATTCCTGGACATCCGTTGACGCTTTACATCGCTGCACAAGAACGTTCAGTTGGAGCCTTGTTAGCACAGGAAGCCAATAAAGGGAAAGAAAATGCCCTCTACTACCTCAGTAGAATGATGACACCAAATGAACTAATTTATTCACCGGTGGAAAAGATATGCTTGGCGCTCATCTTCGCCATAAAAAAGTTGAAGCATTACTTCCTAGCGCACACTATCCGGTTGGTGTCCAAAGCAAATTCCTTAAAATATGTCATGTCAAAGCCTGTCCTTTCTGATCGACTCGCGAGGTGGTACCTGCAACTGCAACAATTCGAAATCATTTATGTACCACAGAAAGCTGTAAAAGGACAAATATTGGCTGACTTCCTTGCTGATCATCCCATCCCCACTGAGTGGGAGTTGTCTGACGACTTCCCTGATGAAGACGCGTTTTTTCTCAAAATCACCCCACCATGGAAAATATATTTTGATGGCTCATCACACAAAAATGGAGCTAGAGCCGGAGTAATATTTGTCACATCATAAGGAGAAGTCCTTCCATACTCTTTTGCCTTAAAAGAAAAGTGTTCAAATAATGTGGCTGAGTATCAAGCACTCATCCTCAGCCTAAAAATGGCGATAGACATCAAGCAACGCCAACTTCAAGTATACGGGGACTCCAAGCTGATTGTAAATCAAATCACTGGAGAGTTTGAAGTGAAGAAACCAGAACTAATGTCTTACTTAAAGTATGCTAAGGCACTCATTGAGTTGCTCGGGGATGTCTCTATTGAATATGTCTCAAGGAAAGAAAATGGGCAAGCTGACGCTCTGGCTAAACTGGCATCGACTCTATCCATCCCGGACCAACAGGTGTATATTCCGATACGCAAAGTTTGGGTGGATTCCTGCAAGTATGAAGAAGAAGAATGTATTGAAAAAGAAGTGAAACACCTCATCGAGGTGTTTGAAATTGAAGAAGAAGAAGAAGATTGGCGGCAACCAATATTAGATTTCTTAAAATATGACAAGCTCCCGAGTGACCCGCGCAGACGAGCAGATATCCGAAGAAGAGCTGCACGCTATGCCTACTTCAACGGCATACTCTATCGTCGGTCATTCGACAACATGTTCCTTCGATGCCTCGGCAATCATCAAGCCAAACAAGCTATGGAGGAAACTCATGCCGGAATCTGTGGAGCTCATCAAGCCGGCCCAAAGTGTAACTTCCGAATAAAGAGGATAGGGTATTATTGGCCAACCATGGTTAAAGACTATATAGACTTTGCACGGAGATGCCAACCGTGTCAATTTCATGCTAACTTTATCAATCAACCACCGGAACCATTGCACCCAACTATTGCTTCGTGGCCATTCGATACCTGGGGCATGGACGTCGTAGGACCACTCACAAAGTCGTCCGCTGGACATCTCTATATCTTGGCTGCAACAGACTACTTCTCCAAATGGGCAGAAGCAGTTCCTTTGAAAGAAGTCAAAAAGGAGACGGTATCTGACTTGATACGAGTCAACATCATTTACCGTTATGTGGTTCCTCGGTGTATCATCACTGATAATGGAAGATCTTTCGCCAATACTCACATCGACAAGCTTTGTGAAAAGTTTGGCTTCCAACAAAAGAAGTCCTCGATGTATTATGCACCGGCAAATGGACTCGCAGAGGCATTCAATAAAACACTTTGTAACTTGCTGAAAAAGGTTGTCTCCAAATCAAAAAGAGATTGGCATGACCGCATTGGTGAAGCTTTGTGGGCCTATCGTACTACATTCCGCACTCCAACACAAGCGACACCATACTCACTTGTATATGGGGTCGAAGCTGTCCTCCCATTGGAAAGACAAATTCCTTCACTAAGGATTGCTCTCCAGGAAGAATTGACGACTCAAGAAAATGTCAGATTAAGACTCGAAGAGCTAGAGGCTCTCGACGAGAAAAAACTACAAGCTCAACAAAGACTGGAGTTTTATCAAGCACGATTGTCTCAAGCTTACAATAAAAAAGTCAAATCACGATCCTTTCAAATCGGAGACTTGGTTCTTGCTGTGAGAAGGCCCATTGTGATCAAATTTCGTTCGGGAAATAAATTTTTATCCAAGTGGGATGGACCCTACGTCGTCACTCAGGTCTACACAAATGGTGCATACAAGTTGACATCTCAAGACGGACTCCGGATAGGGCCAATCAACGGGAAGTTCCTCAAAAGATATTATACGTGAGACCTTCAAATCAAATCAAGACTCCTTAGCATGAGAATAAACTGCAAAATAATGATAAAAGCAAATTCAAGTTGCTTTGAACTACGTTATGACTTGATCCCTTTACCGGGTACTTAGGCAGCTTGAGATATACCTTCAAGTTCAGTCAAATAAATAAATAAATAAATAATAGTAAAGGATTTGGGTAAAATAAAATGCCCGAGAAAGAAAAAATAAAAAAAAAAAAAAAAGAGAATTTAAATTTATTGATTGGCAATCAAAATGAAGAGTACAAATTGATCTTAAACATTAAGATTATACAACTCTTCTTTGCTAATATCCAACAACTCTTCTAAGCTTTTTAAGTATTCTTCGTCTTGCGCGGGGACATTCTCAACGGCGGCGAGTTCATCCTTGACTTCAGCAATTTGAATGGTGATATTCTCATTAACTCCTTGACGTCGCTTAATAAGGGAAATATTCTCTCTTTTTTGCTCTTGTAAAGAGCGAAGCTTCACGTCAATATTCTCCACACACCCCTCTAACTCCTTAATAGCTTCGCACTCCTCAACATGCCTCGTCTCAAGGTGCGACAAGCGATCTTTGATCTCGGAAATCTGTTGGTTACGAGCTGCCAAGGATACGGCATCGATCGAGTCAGAACATGCCTCATCAAAAGATGCAGCGTCATAAAAAAGGGCCTTGACTCGGTCCTCAATATGAGAAATGTCAGAGTACTGAAAGCCTTTCATTGAATGGAACACTACGTCAACCTCGTCCTTAATCGAGGAAAGCAAACGAGCTGGTATCCTCAAAAGCTTACCCTGAAGATCCGACCATACTTTTCCTATATATTCGCGTTGGATCCCTTTCACAAAATCTGCGCCACAGAATTCTGAAATTGCGGGCACAACGGAATGAACAACTATGGGCTTGGTTGGAGCATCCTTTACTTGCTCATTGCAAACACCCCTGCTTTCC